TACAAATTTATGAAAGCCTCCATCACAATCAAGTTGGACTCAATTTGTTTTAAATTTTGATAGGTCCTCTAATCTCGTGATTTGGTGTTTATTTAGGGAGTATCATTTTTTTATAAGTCACAAAACAAAAGTCTGATTTTTCAAAGCAATTCCATCTCTGTACAAATTTTTTTAAGACTTAAGATATGAAACAAAATAAGAGATAGAATTTTCTATTGTGTGTATATATAAATTTAACTTTTTCAATACATAGTAGTAATGTATTACAATATGTAAGAATAATTTAATATATTTATAGTATATTCGGGCGGGGCGGGACAACTTCTGCAAAATCACTCCAACATTTGCTGAATTTTTTTTAAATCAGTGCTTATTTACATAATTGATTCTTCAAAATCGTTTAAAAAAAAAAAAGCTGGTTCCGAGCGGGAATTTTTACCATCACGTTAAATTTCAAGCCTAATATCTGGTAGCTTGGTTGGCGGTTAGTGGGGGATATTAAATGAGGCTCCAGAATTGGTGCACACATTGTTGATACATCTGGTTGTGGTACACAGTATAAGAAGTCAATACAAAAAGAGGAGACTGTGACTAAACGACAAAACTGTCCCAGGTGGGTCCCTCACGTATTTCGTTCCTGCTGCTGTTTCGCCCTCAACTCCGATGTCTGACGTCGCACGTGCGTGCGCACACTCCTTTATTATTATTATTTTAATTTAAAATTTGAGCCTTTGATTTTGATCATTTATTAGGATTAAATGAATCGATGTATTAATGAATTATTTTTATTCTATGTTTTAGAAATTGAAATAATTATGAACTTTATTAGTTTGTAATTTTGAAAATAATTTTTAAGAACCAGAGAATATTAAATAATTTTTAGAAAATAATAAAAAACGAAAAATATATTTTTTTTAAAAATTAAATCAAGTAGAATTTTTATTTTTATTTTTTTATACAATTTTTAGTTTTTTTAATAATAAAAAACTATTCTCAGAATTAGAAACCAAATAATTTTCTTCTTAATTTTGTCACCTTGTAACTAGACAAGGAAACCCTCAATCCAACTAGGTTGAGTGTCATTTTAAAAAAAATACTTTAGCCACTCAATGTATAAGTATTTTAAAATAAAATTTTAGGTTTTATTGAATACGTTACCATTTTTTTTTTTAAAATCTAACAGTAGCACTCCGTAATCGCGCCTTAAGGCACTGTTTGGCATAACTTTTTGAAAAAAATATCAAAATGGATTATTTTGAGCATGTTTTTATTTTTTATTTTTAAATAAAGTAAAATTTATCAAATAAAAATACATTGTTTAAGCATTGCTTATTTGCTTGTCCCAAAAAAAAATAATAATAATAATAATAATAATAATTTTGGCCTAAAACAAATTAAAAAACCTATTTCCCAACTCCTATCACTCAATCTTAGCTATTATTTTAAATTGTTTTGTTTATTTTTTTTTTAATTCATAATAAATAATGTATAAAATCAACCCTAACTTTTTAAATAATTTAAAAAGATATATTTGATTGAAAAATATTATAATTTCATCATTTTTATTACATAATAAAAATTCTAATACATGACATCTAATCATTAGGAAAAAGTTAAAATATACGTATATTTTTTAAGACTAAAAATTTAGAGTATTTGAGAGCGGTGTGGGCAACACAAGTTATCTATCTACTTTTGAAAAAGTAGAGTGCCACGTAAGCTAAAAGGTGATGTTGTGGTACTCTACTTTTTTTTATGCATATGTTTCATGGTGTGAAACCCAATTATCTTATTCTTTATTTATTATTTTATTGATTTAATTTAAAAATAAAATAAAAATTTGAATTTGAATTTAATATTTTTTTGTCTTTTTCTCAACGGCTATATTCCAACGGCTATATTTCAATTTCTATATAAACCACTCATTCTATTTTCTTTCAATTATGAAATCCACTTATTTGTATTCTCAAGTCCATTATTTGTTCTTTCAATTTCTATATAAAGCACTCATTTTATCTTTTTTCAATTCTATCTTCTTTCAATTATCAAGTCTTTTTCTTTGCATTCTCAAGCTCATTCTCTATTCTTTAAGTCTTCATATTTCTTATACAAAAAAATAATGGCTTCATCGTCACGAGATATACCCATCTCTGAGTTTATTTCTCCATTGAATTCATCAGATTCAGATGAATGTTAAAAAAAATATTGAGAAAGAGAATTATTGAATATGATAATTATTGAAGATGAAATTAATTTTTATAGGCTAATAATATAGCTGTTTTATTACCGTTTGAAAGTAATTTACCGTTTGAATGTAATTGACCATTGGAGCATTCTTTTGTTTTTTTCCGTTGAAGTTGCCTTTTGTTTTATTTCCGTTGAAGTTGCCCTTTGCTTTAAACAAAAGAAAAAAAAAAAATTGTGAAGTATTGTCTAAATGATTCTCTATCTATAGAGCATGATATAGAATGTTATTGTAGGCCCACAATAAAATTAATCAAATTCTTCCAGTATATCGTTTCATTCTCTCTTTATACTGATATCTCTTTCTTTATTTTGAATAGCGGCTCATATGCTCTGGGGGAGTGTCCTATTTTGGAGAGCAATATTAGTTGATTTAGCTCTAAAAATTACTATTCTTAAAAAAGTTGAAATGACATTTTAAAAATTTAAAAATGCTGATGGGAATACCCTTAAACAAAATTTTGGAATCTCACTACTCCATTTATCCAATCCATAGAAAAGCTTTTTTAAAGTTTTAAGGGGTACGTACTGTTTTCTCACACACACACAGATGCTATATCACGTCTTATGTAATAATGGAAGAAAGGTGCACAGTTAACCACAGGTATAGGTGGTTGAGGCTATAGATATAGGCTCATGTAACCCATGTCATGTGTATATTATACGAGTACTTACATACATACGCACACACATATATATATATTACCCTGTTACTCATTTTTATAAGTAGTGTTTATAGGGAATAGGAACCGTATCACTGTTGCTATCTTTCGCTTGATTAAGTCACTAAGATCTAGTCGATTTCTTATGCCTACGTGATGAAACTACACGTGTCGATTGATTTGATACATATTATGCCATTAAATAAAATGCGTGACATAGATAGCTGATAGCTGACAGAAAATAGTCCAAAAATAGAAACACAAAAAATCTAATCGTTTTTTTCTTCATATAGGATATTAATGATTACTGTTTTTTCATTTATTTATAAGTTATATTGACATGTTTAAGAATTTATGAAAATTCATATTTACACGAAAAAGATAGAACATTTATGAAATACTCTTTCTGTTCCAATTTAAATATGGTTTATAAAAAATAAGAAAAAATGACACTTATTCTAAAATGGAGAGATTATGTGTTCCAATAAACTTATCGGAACATTTTAGATGACTTGATTTTTTGTTTTTTAGTGAAAATAATAATATTAAAAAACGGTAAGTTGATTTTTGAATTGAGACAATTATGGAGTATTTTGAGACAGCTAAAAATAAAAAAAGTTGAACACTTTTTTTAGAACAGAAAAAATATTTATGAAAATATAAAAATACTTAAAACTCGAGTATAATCCTCTGTTTTAAGCAAGTCATGCTTTACTTATACTATACAATAAATTACATTCTTTCAGCCATATTTTTTAAAAAAGTAATTTAAGCGTCAAATGAAATATTTGTTAACAACAGAAGATCCTAGTCCCATACCAAACACCAAAAAGGATGATTATACGATATTATAAGTTTGAAAGGCTAGGATATAAACACGTGTTCCATTTTTATTAGATCTATGATAGCTATTCAAAAACAACTTAATAAAAAAAATTAAAATTATTCAGAAAAAACTTTTATGACCTACTTGACAGACTTGAGCTTTTGATGTAGAATAATATATATAACCTTGGAGACTCAAACTTAGAGATTCACTCCCGAAAAGCATATGCACTGATAAACAAATGTTGCATATTATATATATATATATATATATATATATATGTACACGCTTTCACTGGTGTACTAAGTAGTAAATAACTCATATCCCACCAATATATAGAGATTCACTCCCGAAAAGCATATGCACTCAAAAACATATATTTGCATATTAATTATATATATATATATATATATATATATATATATATGTACACACTTGCTTTCACTAGTGTATTAAGTAGTAAATAACTCATATCCCACCAATATATGTATATATTGGGAGCATAGAGGTGATTGGAAAACAGAGGATGGATATAAGTACGTACATAGTAACCGTAGGCTTATGAAGCAATAGGACTGCAAACGGTAAGTGGACCTCATATATAAATGTATAATGCGCTAACTACTGTGTTTTTAGACTCGTATATCGTTAAATTTCCAGTTCAACTTTTTAAAGTTTCCAAGCTATGAAATATTACGAAATCATACAAATTCCCTACTAACACAAATGGTCATCGAAAAGTGAGATACATATTAGGGGCTATATATATATATATATATATATATATATATATATCTACATACTGTAGGTTTATCGGGGTTTATGAAAAAAAAGAGTTAGGTGGAGGATGATCTCACTGTTCTGAAAGGGCTATACTATAGTATACACATATATATACATACCCCTATTCCTATTGTTATGTCTGTGATGTGTGAGGCCTCAGCCTCAGCCTGACGACTCTTCTAAACATGCTCACACGGGCACGCATAAATCTCTGCAACCAACTTTGCATTTACTTTCTTCAAATCTCTTGTTTTTCTTCAATCTTCTTACCTGTTTTGGTACCCTATTCAGGTGGCCTTCTGTACCCCCCATTTCATAGCCCCCCTCTCTCTCCTCTCTTTCTCTCTCTATAATCCTCTATTCATTAATTTCTTCCTTCGATTTCAGTGCTTCTTCCTCTATATATCACCTCATCTTATGCTACTCCTTTATTCATTTACAAGCCTTATTAACCATATAACCTCTATCTGTGTCTGTTTATTATACATATATTTGATTGTGTGTGTGTGTGAAAATGTTGGCAATGGAAGAATTACTGTGTGAACTGAGTGGAGAGAACATAAACGAGCAAGGCTTGCCACCAGGGTTTAGGTTTCACCCAACTGACGAGGAGCTTCTAACATTTTATCTGGCTTCTAAGGTCTTTAATGGCACTTTCTGTGGTGTCGATATTGCAGAGGTTGACCTCAACAGATGTGAGCCATGGGATCTTCCAGGTATATATGTATATGTATATCATTCTTTCATCTTAATTAAACATGCATATATAGAACAAAATGTGGATCTTTAAAGTCAGGTGTGTGTGTGTGATTCATGACCTTGGTGTGCTTGTTTGGTGTATATATAATATATATATAACCATGCAAGACCACACTCATAAAGAATATAGTTATTTTCTGTTTTCCATTCTTTTCTTTGCCTGAAAACAAACAAATCATTTGTCTTCCTTCCTGGTTTAAAAAAAAAAAAAAAAAAACCTATCATCTTCATTTTTTAGTAATTAATCCTAAGTTCGAGTACTGCAACTTCTACTCATGGGGACAATCTTTGTGTTTGTCTAACTAAATTACTAAACCAGTTCTTTATTTCTTTCTTTTTCATTTTGCACAAAATTGAAATCACACAATTTTTTTTTTTTTTTTGGGTAAATCAAACCATTTTACTTGGTGTATTATATAAGTTCTAAGCTCTTTATGAAGGCTGAAGTGTTTTTTTTTTCCTTTTTCTTTTTCCCTTGGAAATTATGAAGGCTTAAGTTGTATATGCATTTAGATTCTAACAAATTAATGGATTTAGACCCAAAAACCCAAAATTGATATTTTAACTGTGTCTCCAACTTTTAACCTAAAACTTTCAGACACTTCTCTCTATGGTTATTGCATTGTTTTTGCTTCACCTATATGTTAAATGACAAACTCTGACCCTATCACTGTCATGCACTTGAGTTGAATCACCATAAAATTTTTGTGCCAGAAGATCTATCTACCTGCAGAAATCATTTAATTTCTGACAAGTACTCATTCACACACACACACACACACACACATATCTAGATTAATAATTATTCATTAGTACTATGGTCTTTAAGTTCCTCATAAGATCATAAAATCCAAACTAACCAGTTTCATACTGTCTATGGTTTATGTTTATGTATGTGTTAAATGTTTTGACAGATGTTGCAAGGATGGGAGAGAGAGAGTGGTACTTCTTCAGTTTGAGAGACAGGAAGTACCCAACCGGGTTGAGAACGAACCGGGCCACTGGAGCTGGGTACTGGAAAGCAACGGGCAAAGACAGAGAGGTTTACAGTGCATCAAGTGGCGGTGGCGGTGCCTTGCTTGGGATGAAGAAAACCCTAGTTTTCTACAAGGGCAGAGCCCCACGTGGCGAGAAGACCAAGTGGGTCATGCACGAGTACCGCCTCGACGGTGACTTCTCCTTTCGCCACACGTGCAGGGTACGTACGTGTCACCACCCGCACGCGTGCCACTCTTAACGTGCGCACTGGGAACCAAAACCTTCACCCCTTTTTGTCTTTTTTGGGTTGACTTATTTTCTTGTCCATATTAGACAATATACTGTATGGAGATAGTACAAACTGTTCAATTTTCACTCTTGACTATTTTTTATTTTATTTTTTTTTTCCAAGGGTCACACAATGAGAGTAGAACCTACAAAATTAGCTTTTGAGTGCAACTTGAATTAAAATTCAAAATAACATAAGTGTGTGTGTGTGGGTATATATATATAAAAAATATATATTTATACAAAGATATCACAGATTACTCAAAACTTAGTTGTATTTAATAATAAAAAAATTTAACTCATAATTTAAAATTTTAATTATAATACACCTCCAATGAGCGAGGATTCTGTGCTTCCAAATGTAGCATAATTTAATTATGGGTCTAAATTGTTGAAATTTGCAGGAGGAATGGGTGATTTGCAGAATATATCACAAGATAGGGGAGAAGAAGAATCCAATTTTCCATGGCCGTTCATCGAGTTATCTAATGGAAGCTTCTTCATCTACAACAGCCAATTCCTGCTTGCCTCCATTGTTAATGAGCCCAACACCACTGCTGGAGTCTCACAACCCATCAGCATCATCATCAATGCAGGCACTACAAAACCCTTTTGTGATTCACCACCAAGAAAGTGACCTCAAAGCCCTAATTAATCAAGTTGTTGCCTCTCAAACCAACCTCTTCCCAATGAATGGTGTTGTGTCCTCCTTTTCACCCACTCCCACTGCTATCACCACAACAGACAATAAAGACACACACACCAACAACCCATCACACACACAGTCCGTCCACTTCAATTCCTTCCTCTCACATCAAGATTGCAGTCTGAAGGAACAAGCTATTACTATTCCCAAACAGTGCAACACTGCAGATCAATTTCAATTATCTGATTCCAATAGACAAAACCCCTTATTTTTTGGTATGGATTGTGGTGGTAGTGTAATGGGGTTGTTAGCATCAGGAGGAGCTGGTGCTGCTATGCCAGACACCACAACTGTTCATCATGAGATGTCTACTTCTATGGGCTTCAGATGTTGGTAGATCAACAACACATCATAGTCACTGGGGAGCCTTCAAATCTTATTCTAATCTTAGAATTATATCTACAATATACACTGCTCTATATACATATGCACTATATATATATATATATATATCCTCTCTTCATATGTATGTAACCATGTAGTAGTCATATTGGAGATTTGCTGCAGCAGCTTAGGAGGACTTTTATGTCTAACTATTTCTGGGAAAGATTAATTGCCTTTGTGTATTGTTCTTTTTGAGAAGAATTTGCATATATGGTGGTTTTATAATTAGGAATTATTACAAATAAATAGTGTTAAATGAGTCATATTTACAATTTAATGGAATCAAAGTTTCATACTTAAAAAAAAAAACATGAAGTTGACTACAATATTAAAGTGGACATAAACAAAACAATGTTTACTTTTCCTAAAGTATCATTTTTAGGTACATAGATATCACTTTTTGTACATGGAGATATTACTTTTTATACATTAGGTACTATTTTTTAGATATAAAAATATCACTTTTATTCACATAGGTACCATTTTTATTTCACATAAATACTTTTGTGCAACACAAAAAACATGCATACATAAAAAATAATATCTCTGTCTAAAAATAGTACTTTGGGTAAACAGTATTTTTTTCATTTTTTTAAAACTACTTTGATTTTATTAAATAATAATTATAAGTCATTATCTATGTAATAATCTCTTATAAATATTACTATTAATTAGAGAGATGCATATTATATAGTCGAAATTAGATAGTGAGGAATACAGCGTGAGGTGGGTTTGATATGTTTGATGTGACAGGCGTGGATGGGATTGGAGATCACTGTTATATATACAGTAGTATTTTGACGTCATCTTTATTTACCATGATTGATGGTAGGGCTGGGTCCCTGCATGCATGCAGAAGCACCAGTACTAGTATAGGATCTGAACGCCTTCCCCCTTTAGGTCTAGGCTCCTTGCAGAGATTAGTGATATATGGGAGTATCTATGCCTGTATGGATATTTTTGTGTCTGTATGTGTTTGTCTATAAAAAATATAAATATATACATATATGTGCGTGTATGGATTCACAGAAGGATGAAGGCCTGAGTGAAATATGAATTTTGACACTTGATTATGGATCACAGGGGCATTCATGAAGAAAGTCTTCAATCAACTGCTCCCACAAAACTCTGTAGACTCATCTACCGCCATATCCGCGTACAGACAATGCATGCTTACTCCTATGAATTGGACAAATGTACCTGGCAGTTAGCAACACTCCTTAGGGAATAGGTACCTAATCAATCTAACAGAAGCAGTCAATGCTTCGCAGCTTGGTAGTTTATAGTTGTGATTTCACTTTGTGACCTCCTGATTTTCGAGATTAGGACCCCTGTTGCAATAAATTTCCTACTAAAAATAATGAAAAAAAATTGGTGAGAGTTTTGAGGGCTTCTTGAGTGCATGTTGATTCATATTCCAGAATAAGGCCATCCTTCACTCAAAACTTACCTTTTTAACCGTTGGTAGGACACACCCCATACCTAAGGGGTATTGTCTTAAAACAAGATTGTCTCGTCTGTGCTGTGTCTAGTTTCCATGGTGCGAACTATTGGACAGTGACTGACAAGGTGAGCATCCATGCACCCACGTTCACCCTCATCAATGAATCTCAACTCTTCAGGGAAAAGTAGTACGCCATATCCCAGAGCTTTCTTGATAAAGTCGTTAATATTCTGATATTCAGCTATGAATTTAGACCCAGGTTACATTAGACTAATACTGCTTCAATTGCAACACAAACCCTGATCTTTCACAACTCTTAGAGTTGGAATCCTGCAGAGGGTCCTCTGCCGAGTCCCGACCACCACCATCACTTCCACCCACTTCATTATATTTTTGCAATAAAGCATCACCTCCATTGAACCACCACCAGAGTCTATAAAAAAACACACCACCATCACCATTTCCCCACTTTCGGTCTACTACATATCCACCATCAAATTCATTAAACTCCATGACCACTTCCACCCGAACTCTCTAACACAACCTAATACCTCTATGACCAACACCTCCATCAACCTAACCTATCAGCACCATCATTTTCACAACAAAATCCTCCACCACCACCGTTCTCAACTCCAACCAACTCACCACCGCCATCACCAACTCCACCACGTAAAAAACCCCAACACATCTATTACCTAAACCCATCACAACTTCCACTTGATTTCTCTACAGCAAAACCCAGTACCACCACTATTCTGTAGATTGATCTACATATTAAATCAATAAGTTACACAAAACATATACACATGAAAAGCCACTACATATTAGCTTCTAGTAGGGGGATAATTGAAGACAGACCTAATCTTAGACAGATTGTTTTAATTTGTACATAATTTTTAGATATATCCATTGTGGTGGTAGATTAATGCTTATTTGGACCTGTCCCAGGAAATATTAGATGCGGGTAAATGTAGGAAAGGGAAAAGAAACATGCAAATGAACCAAATGGGAAAGCAGGTGACATAAACTAAGGGACCTCTTAACTGTTACAGTACTCAAATTCATAATTCCACCTGAATGAGAACTTTTGCAATGCTATGGTCCAAAAAATGACGAGCTTATAGAAGTTTAAAATACATTTCGTCATGTTTACCCTCTTGTTATCTTTACATGTGATTTCTTATTTTACTGTTCTATACATACTCTCCATTTTCCCAAACATGAGAAGGGAAAGTTGATCTCCTTTCCTCTCTTTACATCCCTAAACATGAAAACAAGGGGGGGGGGGGGGGGGGGGGGGGGGGAGACCCACTATCCTTTTCTTTCTTTTCTTCTCTCCTCCTTGATAATTTCCTATCCCTCTATACTTTACAAAAGACATTACAACATAAATGGCCAACAAGTACAGCAGTGTAAAAGATGGTGCCTACTTTGAGGCAATGGTTATCATATGAAACTTTTCATGAATTCCTTCATGGATTTGGCATTCCAGGTGACTGAGTTCCATTAATTGCACAGAGAGCCGTATACATCATTAAACAAGGGGATTAATTCAAAGCATTATACTTACTAAACATTTATAATTTAAATAAAGGAGTAACTAGAATTTATAAAACCATCTCCAAAGCATGACAAGAAAAGGTTACTACTCAATGTTCTTCAAAGGGAAAGAAAAATATTCAAATTCCCATATGCCTACATGGAGTACAACACCATAGAGGCCAAAAGCATTATTACATACCAGATCCCCCTTATAGAGATCACACAGCCACCAAAATGCATCTGCAGTAAAAGAGTTCCTGTACAAATAATAATTTTGATAATTAGTTTCAATTCATTGTGTATTTCCTAATAATTGAATAAGAGTAGGCACAATTAAATGGCTGGTTTGATTCCCGCCTAAAGTAGAGGGAGAGAGAACACCCAAGGGGACACTACTAAGTAGATGTAAAGAGAAATTATCTACTATTCAATCTTTTCCTTTTTACCCCTCTACCTTTGGTGGGATTTAGAAAACTTGTATATTTGTGTGTGATCAATAGAAAGCAAAATTTTTTTTTTCCCATCCTTCAATTCTCAATAACAACGTCAAAAATCAGAAACCCATCTACTACACCTGAATAGGTTCTGACATTCATTTCCTCAAATCTCTCAGGTACTCCACAAATTCATTCCAGCAATATATCTCTATAACCACAAAAAACTGAAAAATGCAAAAACTTAACTATTTACTAGTAGTAGTAGTACATCAAATTATTTATTTATTTATTTGGATAATAGTAGTACATCAAAAATTAAATTACTGATCTACATTAATATGGGTAAACAATTAGCTACTGACTAGTGAACTTCACAATCATCTGTCCAACCTTTTAACAAGTCTTCTCTTATCCAACCTTAGAGATCTTATTTTGCTTTCATAACCAAAAGTAGTCCACATCCTGAATAATGCTACTTAGTGAGAGAAAATGTACACTGTGGTCCGTGGACCAGTAAAGCACTTCCCCTAAGCGGAAATCTCTTGGTGTACAGAAGTCCTATTTATGATGAAACAAATGGAACAACAGGAAAAATAAGATCTTCGACAAAATCTTGTCAAACTAAAATTTGATTATCAGGGCATATCTGAAGTCTGCAATAAAATATCTTCATGCTTCTCTAAACCTCAAATACATTTCAATCCAGCAGCCCAAACAAAAATTAGAATAAGAAAATGAGTTCAATATGTTTTAGGAACTTAATTCCATAAGGAGGAGCACTTGATCTAAATATGATTCACCTAGGCATAGCTTTCACCTTTCCGAGAAAAATCAGATTTTAGATTCAACATCTTAAAGGTAGAAGTATGGGGGAACATTTCAAAGTAGTTACAAATATAAAGCCTCAATTATATAGAAGTGCATCAAGACAAAGTTACGAGGAAGGTTGAATAGAAGACACTAGTGAATTTTCCACAAATCCTGAAACAGATTATCTTCCAGTGTGCAAAGAGCAGGATGATTTAACAGTACACCCTAAGACAGATCCTGGCTCTAATTCTCTTCAAAAATTGACAAAAAAGAAACTTCCGTGTATTATTAACAAAAAGCTGCTCAAAAAAAAAAAAAAAAAAAGAAATAAAAAAAGAACATTTATAACTTATTTCCACATAATTCAAAAAAGAAATCAGATAATCTTTCATGAATGTTTAATAGATTATGCATTTTGCAAATTAAGCTTTGACTTTCATGGTGTTGGGATACACAGGAGCCGTCAGAAAATACATTAGGGTTTTTCTGAGAGTCACTCTCTTCGTGCACTTGTAAGGCATGGCAAGAGAGTGACTTATATGGACACTCATTACTCCAATCTATAATTCATCAGTTGCAGAGTTTTGTAGTTAAAACCGTGCGACCTAAAAAATTCAGCGGACAGCATGTTCAAAGAGAAAGAAAAAGTAAAAAAGATGAGAATAAAATCTGTTGAAAGAGCAATCTAAAAATAACCCAATGCACCTTAATAACGTAACTTCATTGAATAAGTAGTAAGGTGATACACTCGCCTCTACTAAGGTATAACATAATTACATTGGCCTCCACTGTTGCTTCAAAAATCACAATGACCTCGCTAAGTTTAGTACTTTGTAACAGATTTTGTCCTATGTTAATGGTCAACAAAGCCAAAGAATGGAATCTGCTTACGTTAGCAAAAATAAATTTAAACATATTTTCCATTGTCTTTCTATATTAACTCCACTCTCCAACTGGAAATTCATTGAGGACAATAATTTAAAATCACACTCCGTCTAGTGCCATCCAGTGGAAATGTCTAATAGGGGAAGCCAAAGTCTAAATCAACTGAAGCCTGTGTACTTATACCATAAACCAGAGTAGATGAATGTTGTACGCCATAAATAATAATACATCCTATAACCTATAAGATACTTTTGCCCAATTATTTATAGGCTGCTTTCCAAACCTGGAAGCCATACCACTAGTTCCATGGCCTCAATCACCCAATCTAAGACAGGTTGAAACAATGGAAAACTCCTACAGATGGAGTATGTTCTCAAATTCTCATATTACAAGTAGTTATGTTCATGTAAGGGGTGTTACTAAGCTGTAGTGTAATCAATTTGTGGCTATAACAAATCCAAGGGATTATGCGAGTTGGGGCATCTATAGATCATTAAATATAGAGCTCCATTAAGACTAAGCAGAACAAGTTCACAAGTATTCTAACAGTTTCTATTCTAAGTTCTAACTGGCTTAGAGATTTTCATTAATTTTACCATACAAAAAAAACCTAATCAAATTCAAATTATATTAGACATCCATTAGAAGAACAACCACGCTTAATTATAACGGTTCTCTAAGAGCAAAATCTCTCATTTTCCAGCAAAATATAACAAAATACACTATTTTCGTTAGATTGAGATTATACCCAGTAAGAAATTTGTTGCATATTGACACAAAACAAAGGTAGTAGGTCGAAGACCATTCCGGGCAGAGTTGACATCAATAAAAGAAATAGAGCAGTGGAGGGTATGAAGAACAGATCGAAACCCTAACCCTAACCCTAACCCTAATGGTGAGAGAAATGAAAGTAAGGAACGAACCTAGCTGGATTGGGGATGAATCTACTTGTTTGAATCGTTTTTCTTCGGCAAAGTGTAATCGGGAGGTGAATAGATCACAGCAGCCAGCATGGCTCCCGGAAGCACCGCGTACTTGGCCAACACCGCCAGCTTCGCCACCAACGGCTCTCCTCTCATGAACGTCATTGAGCCTTCTTCTTCTTCTTCTTCTTCTTCTTCTTCTGGTCCTCACTTCAATATTTTATAACCCGCTATCGATTTTTCTTTCGAGTGTCGAAAATAAGACTATTCTACTTTATAAAATATTAGGGAAAAGTTTATTTATCTTTTAGCCTTTATCTATGTTTTGTGGTGTGCAACTCATATTTATTGAATGAAATATTAAGTCTAACCATTCAATTATTTGGTGTACAAAAATAAAATGAAATGACCATTCCAATATAATAAAAATCCATTCTATTAATAAACCTATGAAATGACCATTCTATTCCATAGTAACATAAAATATTTGTGCAATATTCTCAATAAGCCATTCCATAATGTTTTGGGTCTATTTATTAAGAAGGTGAGAGTTAATTTTTTTTTTTTAATTATTTTTTTAGGGTATAAAAACAAAATAAAATTAGTGTAGCATTGTTGTTTCTAAAAATTATTATATGGTTCTTAACCTTTTATTTTACAAAATTATGTTAATATCTGTTTATAATCACTAAAGCACTTCTAATAGTCACAAAGTTTTAGTTTAGTAAAGTTTTGAAATGAAGCTCAAACTTTGAAAATTTTAAAATTAAAGTAGAGACGGTGTATTTAAGGTAACAGTTTTTCTCTAAACAATTCTATTAATTTATAAAAAAGTAATTCTATTCATTCTTTCATTAAATTGTAATTATCAATGATAAATTATATTGGTTTTTTTTAAAGTTTCAATAATATGCACTGACGCTCTCTTATTTGTCAAATTATACAAATGTGAGGATGCAAAATGAGTGTAGAATTCTTTTGACTACTTATGTTAGAAGTCCCTGAATTAAACTCTATTTGAATGAAACAAAACAATCACATTACAAATTGAGTATAATACAATCAAAACAAAAACAATATAGGAGAACAACAATCACATTACAAATTGACTACAATACAATCAAAACAAAAACAATATAGGAGAACAAAAGTGTTGTTGGTACTCTAAAAGAACCACCACATTACAAATTTTAATACAGCTAAGCCTTTGATAACACTACAACACACACATTTCATGAGAAACAATGACCAAATATACAAAATTGTGCCATTACCATCATGGAATGACCTATGGGTTCAAATCTGCTTGTTGCTCTGGTGTGCTGCTTCAGCGAGTGTAGGTGCATCAGTGCCAATGCTCTGATGGGGTTCGGGACTGAGGTGTCCTTCCATCCCAATGCCGCCGTGCGATTTGTATCCGTATACTTCAAGTAAGGACTACTCTCTAGAGGCAGCCCACGTACGGTTCCTTTCTCTTTTCCTCTTTTTGTTCTTCACACTCTTATCTTTCTCTCAATCTGCTGGCTTAGATGGGTTGACATCAATTTTGTTTTTGTTTTGTTTTTATTTTTATTTTTGTGTGTGTGTGTGTGTGTATATGCGCGCGCGCGCTTATGTTAGGTAAATAGTTTGTCCAATTTCTTGAGCATTACTATATGGTCAGTATGAAAGAAATGACATCCAACAACTTGGGAAATTTTGGTTGAATTGAGAAGACCACTAGTTGGGCTAAGTGACTCGTTCAACTGCTACCTCTTCATCCATTAACAAATAGGTCGTGGCCCAAAATACCCTAAAATCAAAGTGGGTGGGTGCCACTCTCTGAGATTTGTGGTGGCAAATCTTTGCAATGTAGCACAAACTTCCAATTTTAAGCATTTGGTGCTATCAGCTATGTCTATCTATATAACTACTAAATATGGTTAATCGTATTGGTCGATATGCGACGTTTACTGTTGCACACTCTCATGAACTACCCGATTTGATTGATTTACACCGATATTCGTTCAAATCCGTTGCACTGTGATCGTGATCATTACCACAATTGCAAACCATGCTACCAAGTAAATAGGTTGTTTGATTAAAAGTAAAATTTTGGACTAAAATAGAAGTGTTATACATTCTTGATTCATAAAGATGACAGTTAAAAAGGGAAGATGAGGCTTCTAATTGAAGTGGCACAGATTGAGAAACTATAAACTGTGATTGGGTGGTCATTCTTCAACCAGACTAATCAAATTTGATTAAGGCCATGAAACCTAACACATTGCAATAAAACAAACTCAACTACCAAACAAAACAAACAATAAATACTCTGGGACCAGCTTCCCCCTCTTATTTCCACCGTCTCTTTCCTTTCCAAAGGGGGAGAGAGAGAGACAACCCCAAGTCTCTTCCCTTATCCTTCACACAAGTTTTACCCATACAATTTTCTTGGTTCAGAAAGCACCAGCTACTTCCCACAACATCCCATCACTCATGGCAGTTTCTACACCTCAAAAGCCTTCATCAATCTCAAACTCCTTATCTTTTCTTCCATTTCCACCCATTGCAGTAGACACACACACACACACACACTCTGCTTAGTTCTCTTAATTTTATGATGGAAGTAGAGCCCAAAGTCAGGAGAAATTCCAATACCCAACTCCTAGAAGAGCTCGAAGAGCTCAGCCAATCCTTATATCAATCCCACACTTCAACCGCTCGAAGAACCGCCTCCCTTGTTCTCCCTCGAACTTCAGTTCCTCCAATTTCAGCACCTGATGAGATTGGCACAGCTAAAAATGAGGAGAAAATCAATCCCAAACCGTGGTCAAGGCGTCTGTCATTGTCCCCGTGGCGCTCTAGGCCTAAGCTTGATGATGAAACCGAGCAGAACAAGCGAAGCCCTGGTGTTCCCAATCAGAAACAGTCCAATAATTTCATGGAAGACAAAGCAGCTACAGAAAAGAAAGGACTTTGGAATTGGAAGCCAATCAGAGCCTTGTCCCATATTGCAATGCAGAAGCTGAGCTGCTTGTTCTCTGTTGAAGCTGTCACAGTCCAAGGCCTCCCGGCTTCCATGAATGGTCTTCGCCTTTCGATTTGCATCAGAAAGAAAGAAACCAAGGATGGAGCTGTTCACACAATGCCCTCAAGGGTGTCTCAGGGGGCTGCTGATTTTGAAGAGACCCTCTTCATCAGATGCCATGTTTATTGCAGCCCTGGCAGTGGAACACAGCTCAAATTCGAGCCACGTCCATTTCTGATCTATGTGCTTGCAGTTGATGCAAAAGAACTTGATTTCGGAAGAACAACCGTGGACTTGAGTCGCCTGATTCAGGATTCCATAGAGAAAAGTCACGAAGGTTCGCGAATTAGGCAGTGGGAAACAAGTTTCAATCTATCAGGGAAGGCAAAAGGAGGAGAACTTGTTCTGAAATTAGGATTTCAGATTATGGAGAAAGATGGGGGCATTGGGATTTATAGTCAGTCCGAGGGACAGAAATCCAGTAAAAGTAGAAACTACTCATCTTCTATTGCCCGCAGGCAATCAAAATCATCCTTTAGTGTTCCTAGTCCGAGGTTGTCAAGCAGAGCAGAAGTTTGGACACCCTCACAAGCACGAGCAACCGGAGATATTCAAGGCATGGATGACTTGAATCTTGATGAGCCGGCCCCAATACCTTCACCATCATCATCATCTGTTCAGAAATCTGAAGAACCAGGGTCGAAGCCAGAAGATATAGATATTCTTGATTTCGAGGTTGTTGACAAAGGAGTTGAGATACAAGAGAAAGATGAGTCCGAGGAAGGACAGTCTGAAGAGTTGTCTGACAAAAGGTCGGTCTCAAGTGAGGTTGTTAAGGAAGTTGTGCATGATCAAGTCCATCTGACAAGATTAACGGAGCTTGATTCCATAGCTCAGCAGATAAAAGCTCTTGAATCTATGATGGGAGAGGAAAAGCCTTTCAAAACAGGCCAAGAATCCGAATCACAAAGATTGGATGCAGAGGAAGATGCAGTGACAAGGGAATTTCTTCAAATGCTTGAGGATGAAGACGCTATTACCAAGGAATTCAAAGTCACACAAGTGGATATCCCTCTTCTGAAGTTGGAAGGAGTTGAGGATTCTACAGAAGCAGAATCAAAGGTGTTTGTCTCAGATCTAGGAAAGGGCTTGGGGTGTGTGGTTCAAACCAGGGATGGAGGTTACTTGGCTGCAATGAATCCTCTAGACACTCAAGTGGCAAGGAAAGACCCTCCAAAACTTGCAATGCAGATATCAAAACCATTGGTTCTTCCATCAAATATGAGTGGGTTCGAGTTATTTCAGAGGATGCCAGCTATTGGGCTTGAAGAACTCAGCTCTGAGATCTTTTCCATGATGCCCATAGACGAACTCATAGGTAAAACAGCAGAACAGATAGCTTTCGAAGGTATTGCTTCCGCAATTATCCAAGGGAGGAACAAAGAAGGTGCCAGCTCAAGTGCTGCTCGCACTATTGCCTCAGTTAAGACCATGGCATCTGCATTGAGTGGTGGCAGGAAAGAGAGGATATCAACCGGCATTTGGAATGTGAACGAAAACCCATTGACGGTGGATGAGATTCTGGCTTATTCAATGCAGAAGATAGAGGCAATGTCAGTTGAAGCTCTTAAAATTCAGGCAGAAATGTCGGAGGAAGATGCCCCCTTTGATGTTTCCCCACTGGACAAAAAAGATAAAAATCGCCCATTGGCATCTGCAGTTCCACTAGAAGATTGGATAAAGAATCACAGTGATGTTACTTCAGATAATGAAAGCATCACAATATCAGTGGTTGTACAACTGCGCGATCCTCTGAGACAGTACGAGGCGGTTGGAGGCCCCATGATAGCACTAATACAAGCATCATGTATTGACATCAAATCTGATAAGTATGATGAGGAAAAGAAGTTCAAAGTAGCAAGTATGCATGTTGGTGGTTTGAAGGTAACGACTAGAAGAAAGAGGAACGTGTGGGATACTGAGAAGCAGAGGCTGACTGCAATGCAGTGGCTGGTGGCATATGGATTGGGGAAGGCCGGGAAGAAAGGGAAACGCGCGCTGTCGAAGGAGCAGGATTTATTGTGGAGCATTTCGTCGCGGGTAGTGGCTGAAATGTGGCTCAGATCAATGAGAAATCCAGATGTCAAATTCACCATGTAAATATAATTTCTTTCCTCCATACAAAATCTGAAGTCCAACAATTCTTGTATGCATATACTTATAATCCTCCTGCAATCTAGGCTGAAAAGCATGCAATGAAGACAAGAAGAGAAAAGTGCATGCTCCAGTTTGGAGAGAGCTCTGCATTGGGTCCCTAAGGGCTGTAATTGTGTTGCCCATGAGCTTAGTCAATGGGCTCTTCATTGTATTTAAACTGATGTTGAATGGGAGGTGTGGCCTCTCTGGATTTGCCTTCACATTGATATATATATATATATATATATTATTATATTTTCTTGGTGTTAATATATATATATATATATATATATCTCTTTTATTCGGGAAAAAAATGTGTTCAGGTGCATGGACACAATGTTCTATAAACATAGTTATTATTGGCTCAATGAATCTTAGGACACCATACTACTCGGAGGGATCTAGATTTTCAATAGGATGAACTTTTGTAGTCTAACAGAAGCTTATTTATTGATAAAATTATTTGAAGCACCACACACACACACACACACACACACACACACTGCATCAAGATGTTTTCAAGAATATACTTATAGTTGTTGTGCTTGCAGTGCTAGTACTTCTATGGCTCCTAATAGCTCCAAATTGATCTAATGGATAAGATGGAAGTTGTTGGACTCCTCCACTTAACCAAAAAAAAATCTAATGTCATTTTTGTATTGTTATCAGGAAAATGACTTTTAAGGCAAAAGAGTTTGAACAAAATAGAAGCTGGAGATTTTTCTTAATGATGTGAGATCCAATTTAGTGTTTTCAATGAATTGAGAGTTTTCGACTCCCCCATTTCATTCAAACTCTTCATTCTGAATATCATTACTTTTTCAATCATCATATAAAATGTAGAATTGCGTTATTGCCATGGTTTGCCGTATCGAGCGATACGCGACTCTTTTTCAAGTCTGATACGTGACTCGTATCGGCTAGTTTACACTGACTTTATCCGAATCTGTTACACTGCGACCGATACAACAACTGTGACTGATACGGCGAACCAACTTATTGCAACATAGAGAAGCAGGTGAAAAAGAGATCGAAACATATTATACCTAACTTTTTATATATTCTTTTTCTAAATCAAAAGGCTAACTTCTTTCGATTTGGTTTTACATTGTTTATTTCCATTTTCAAATCATTTTCTAATGCCATAATAATCCATCATATACTAGAAGAAATTAAATTGCCAAAACTAAAAAGAACTCAAACCCAATTAAATAGTATGGTTAGATAATTACCCAATCATTGGGAAGGCTAAGAAAGAATTCAAATCCAATCAAATAGTGTGGTTATATAATTATCCAACCATACTCGTATCAACATGTATAGTAAATGTTATGAATCATATGATTGACTTTGACATGGGTAGCAAATTCAACCATACACGTATTAACACACACTATTATTTTGGCAGGTATTGTGGAGAATAAACATTAATTTAGGAGTAGTTTCTTTATATAGGCATGGTTGGCAGACCCTGCAAGCATCTTATGGCAAGTATAAATAGAGACAAAGAGGAAGTAGAAAAAAAACAGAGTGGATTTGGCAAGAGCCTCTAAGGAAGGATTAATTAATCTTCATGGCGGTCTTGTTCAGAGTTTTCTTTGTTCTCACTCTCTTATTTGTCCATGGGTCCGCACTAGTGAGAGGACCTGATGGGATGGCGGCACTATATCATGCAGCACGTCATATAAATCCTCAGGGACAAGGTAGTGTGGGGGCGGCGCATCTTCCTATCGCTGCAATTGTAGCACATAAGAATGGAAATTTTCCTCATTCTGAAGAAGAAGAACATGGTAATGATAAAACGACGCATCTTCCTATCGCTGCATATGCAAAAAGAGGGCAAAACTAAAATACATGATTCATTAAAAACCCATATGAATATATCTTCATGTTGCAGTAATTATGTCATTAATTATGGAATTAAGTGTGCTTAATTCTATAATTATTAAATGTATTGAATAAAATGTGTTTACTTCATAATGTTGTTGTTTGAAAATAAGTATATTTAATCATACATAATTAAGTGTGTTGAATTATGAATCAAGAATTAAGTGCTTTGGATATAAAAACTGAAAAGAGGAATTAAGTGTGTTAAAATCTGAAATTTTTTGTGTTAATATGAGTATGCGTGTATATATATTTCCCAAGCCAAGCAAGAGAGAAGCCAACTCTATAGCTGCACCAGGAAAATCAAAATCCAACACGATCCAGTCCTTTCTCACCATAGCTTGTTGACTCAGAATATGAACAAACATGTTGCCCTCCTGATAAACCCAGGTCATAAATTGGACATAATTCTTCAGAGTAGTCGATTTGGATCGATTTTGGTAACAATAGATGAGAATATAAAAATAATGTGTATAGATAATTTTTATGTGTTTAATTATTTTTATGAAATGAAGTGATGGTTTTATTTTTTATTATTTAAAAAAAAAAAAAACAAAAACATTAGATTTCGAATCTTGAATTTTGGATTAAAAAGTATTGAAACTTAGATTTATTTTGTAGAACTTTAAAACATCATCATGAGAATATAAAACCAAATTCAATTTTAATGAAAGAAATAGAGTGAGATCAGATCCTGAATCTAACCATTTAATACAACACAACCTTTGATATATTTCCTCCAATAAATGACCACCCATGTTCACTTTTGAGTAATGTAGGGATTGTAGGTGTTTTCATCAAAGATGATTAGATAGAGAGAGACTTCAACAATCATGGGACCAGAGAGGGTAAAAAAAAAATGAAAATTTGAATAATCAATTTTCTTGTTTTAATTATTATTATTATTTTAATTATCGTTGCTGTACCACCGTTTGTGGAGTTAACGTCGTTTGGGGTTTAAATTTGTAACGGTTTACAAAACAACGATGTGAGAATTATTTATGGTAAAATGACACAAAACGCCTTATAGCATGAGTGTAAAATGACCTTTTACAATTGAGGATCCGCACTTCTCAAATAACCTCGAAAAATAAATTTATTTTAATTCTATTTATCATGTATATCTTCTCGAGCTAGGATCCTTGTAATACAGAACACCATACACCATGTTGCACTGAAACGAAGGTCATGATAATTCACACGTGATCACTACCACATGTGATTAATCAAAGTGAATCGCTGTTGTAAAGCGTTGTGGTGCAACCATAGAGGATGCGTACCATATATTGTCATCCTACTAAATATAAAGTTAAAAATTGATTTTATAGGACAAAAATTAACTATGTATGTAACTAATAACTAATAAATAAATAAGTAAGTTGCCAAGGTTGTAAGTTGACGCTAATAATATTTTACAATATACGGACTTCCACAGTAGTTTCTTTGTTAAAGTTATCAAGGATGTAATTTTATTGAAGGATAAATTCACTGACCACCTCTCACGTTTTGTAAATTACACATAGATGGAGTGTTTGAGACTTGTTACTTCGACCTCCCCTGAAATGGTTAATGAGCAAACGTAAGTTAATTTTGGATGTGAAAAGTTCGTTTTACCCCTCATATTTTAATACTTTCAAATAGAAAAAAAGTGTAAATTACACAGACTTCACCTATAGTTTGCTATAATTATAGGGACCCTATGGTTTTCGAAATTACACTGACCTCCTCTAATAATAAAACATTGTGAAAAATTCCAGTGAAGGGTTTCATTAAATCCTAATTCGTGTCGAGTAGATCTTGTTGTTGTGAGAATTCTTAATTCCTGTGTTATAGGGAGGGATTTATGTCACCACAAACAGAGACTAATACATAGACCACCCCTCCTAGTGACGGACCTATCTACTTTACTGAAATCTCCTCAAGTTGCTATGGTAAATGACTGAACTACCCATATGTTTGGAGGGAAACTTGGCCAACGACTTTTTTTAACCTAAAATGTGAATCACATTGCTATATGGTAGGTTGATGTTTGTGAAACCCCCTAATTTCTGAATACAAGGTTGATCAGGTCCGGGCACAAAACTGAAGGATATCAACAAATATTTTTTAAAAAAGAAGCACGGAATACAAATGGATAAATAAAGAATAAATAAAAGATAAAAGGTAACTAAAATACTAATTAAATAATTAAATCCTCAATGAATAAATTCCAATAAATATCCATCAATAAGATTCTCCATAATACAACTCAGAAATCCATAAATACAAGACCCCTATATAAATCCCAAAACTAAAATAATGATCAATTACTAAGTCTGATAAATAAAAGAACAATCTAAAGAAATGTCCTATATCAATGATACGGAAGAGTGAAGATGAATGAACTCTGATATGTACGAACAACTTTAAAACTGGTACTGCCCAAGACCTGAAAAATAAAATAGAGGGTTAGACCCACAAATAAGTTCCCTCTACTACGACCCGATTAAAGAATAGGCAATCAATACATCCCTTGCCAAACTCAAGTTATATCTACATAGTCTATACATATATACATATTAAGACTCTCACTAGATAATAGGGCAGTCTCAACCGTGTAGTGGGTATCACTTGGAAAAATTGCACACGAGGTGGTTCAGAGTTCCCCTTATACCAGGGTACACACATTTCCTATTCCAGTTACCCATCTAATCTGGCAATATACACCTCAGTCCTAACCAAAGATCCCGAGACCTTAAGCTCGTATTATGGCTCACATATGTTGGGTTTGTGGCTTAAAATTTATGTGCAGAAAATTTATGTAGAAAGTGTATCCCATTATGTTTTTATTTTGGAGTTTTGATCATTATGGTAACTTTTTGTAGGCAAGTTGAGGAATACTTATTCAACAAGGAATTGAGTTTGAAGACTCTATAAATAGAGATGGGTATTAGAGGTTTTGAGAGAGAAAGGATGTAAGGGGTTTAAGGGTGAGTGTTGTGAGGAGAGGGGAGAATATATGTAATTCCTGAGTGTATACATGTATCCTCATAAGAGATAATGAGTGAGTAAGAAGGTTTTGACATGTGGTTGTATATTCTCTTCTTTGATTCATAATAGTGAAATCTTTCTCTCCCATGGACATAACCCTAGAGTTGGGTGAATCATATAAAATATTGTGTTATGCGTGGATGTGTGATTGTTATCATCATGTATACTTATGTTGATGTGATATGATATTGCTTCCGTTGTATGTGCTGATTGAGGGATTTAACTCTCAATAACAGCCGACCATTGAGTGGGTTGGGGGGAGTTAATTATCCCAAATAACTGGTATTAGAGCCTATGGTGGGTCAAAACCTGTGATTGGTCTTGAAGATCATTAGAAGAAGATTGCTGCGAAG